CTTTGTAGAAGAACTCTGATGAAGGGGTTTATTAACAGAAGAATAGACAGGAGGTATTTTAGGGTGCCTGAGTACGTGGGAGAACAATAAGAAGCATAGAAACCATCACCTATTTGCATTTAGTAATTTACACGTTGTAGAAATAGTAACACTTGGGAGGTTGGGGGAGGAACAGAGGGAGGAAGAAAAGTACAAAGAAAAGAAGAAAAAAGAGGGGTGAAGAGAAAAAGGAATGAAAAAAGAGAGGCAAAGAGAGAAGAGAAAGATAAAAAGAATAAAAGGAAAGAAGGAAAAAACCCTGCACCCTTAAAATTCTGTTTTCTTCTCTTCCAGTAGGTGGCGTTGTGCATTCCAGGTTGAGTCACTGCCCTCAGGGTGGGGAAAGCAATCCATGTGAGGAGGCTCTCCCTACCCTCCCGGGTGCCTCTCTAGTCCCAGTCTCTTTTGGTTGCTCCCGGTCTCTATTTCCCTCACTTCTCTTGCCCACCAGGCCCCAATTACTGGGACTCCTCTCCACAGCCCTGGGTTCACTCTGTGCTTGGGGTGCCCTGGCTGCCCGCATCCTGATCAGCTGAGCCCTCTGTGTTGGGTAGTCACCAAGTCATCACAGCTGTGGAGAGGGGGAGTCGGAAACTGGCCACCTGTTCTGTCCTAGTCCCTCACCCACCGAGAGCTGGAGAGAAAGGTTTTGGGTTATCACAGCTGTGGGGAGGGGGAGTTGGAAATCAGGCACCTTTTCCCTTTCACTCTGTTCTGATATTCAGGCCCACTGAGAGCTGGGGAGAAAGGATTTGAGTTGGAACAGCCTGGTGGGGGGCGGGGCTGGGACTCACACACCTGTTCAGACACCAAACTTGCTGTATTCCACATCCGACAAAAACTGATGTGGTAGATTTTCCAAGATGGCAACCACCTGATTCTGTGCCCGGGTGTCCAGTGAGTTGGGGGGGGGGCTAGGCTGTTTGTCCATTATGTCCTGAGTTTGGTCCTCGGTCCGGTGCACTGCAGCAACACGGGTCGCAGTCTGGCCCGCTTTAATCTTAATCTTGAAGGATCTGTAAGCCTGCGTCTCTATGCTGCCAGATCTCCATGGTGCTCAACTCCACCTGTCTGCAGCGGGTTCCCAGGCTCTATTTTGCCATTTCTCGTGCTGTGTTCAGAGCTCCGTATGGTGACCCACAAGCAAGGCCTCTGCATTCTGTGCCACCTTCCATGTGCGCTGACTGGGCCGCAAGCGGGGACTGCCTTCCATCTGCGCCTCGGCTGATTTTTAATCCAGACTCTTAAAGCTAGGAGGACCAAGCTCTGAAAGAAAATGGAACCAACCAGCAAAATTAAGTACACAGTAAAATTAAGCTTTCAAATTGATGATGAAATAAAAACCTTACTATCATAAGTAGAAGTCAAACAAATTCAGAACTAGAAAGCCTGTACTCCAAGACATACTCAATAAAATATTTCATGAAGAACAAAAGAAAAATAAAAGTGAAAAACAGCAAAGAGAGGACCTATACTAGAAGAATAGTGAATCCAAGGAGAAACTACTTCAAATTAAAAGCCAGAAAGAAGTCAAAATTATAGGTAGTAAAAATTATTTCTCAATAATAATATTGAATGTAAATGGCCTAAAGTTACAAATCAAAAGACATAGACTGAGAAGTTGGCTTAAAAAACAAGACCCAGACTGGCTGCTCTGAAAAGCCATTTTTACCTTGTTCCTGGGTCCAGTTGCCCGCTCACTGCAACCACCTCTGCCTTGCACCTCCTCTGCTGCCACAGATTCTGGCAGCTTTATCGCCAGAGTCCCTGAACTCTAGTTTTCTTTTTAATCCACTGCATCAGATTACCGGCATGCCCCACCATGTCAGATGCGCAGCGGTGGACACTAGGCTCTGAAATCACCATCAAGGACTTAAAGGAGAAGAAGGAAGTTGTGGAGGAGGCAGAGAATGGAAGAGACACCCCTGCTACTGGAAATGCTAATGAGGAAAATGGGGAGCAGGAGGCTGACAATGAGGTAGAGGCAGAAGAGGAAGAGGGTAGTGAGGAAGAAGAGGAGGAGAAAGGTGATGGTGAGCAGGAGGATAGAGATGAGGATGAGGAGGCTGAGGCAGCTATGGGCAAACAGGCAGCTGAAGATGACGTGGATGAAGATGTTGATACCAAGAAGCAGAAAACCGATGAGGATGAGTAGACACCAAAAAAGGAAAAGTTAAACTAAAAATAAAAGGCTGCCATGATCTATTCATTTGCTACTTCCTGTCTCAGAATCTGAATGTGGTCACCTTAGAGAGGCATGCCTGCCCCCCATGGGCAGTGCCACCCACAGATGATACACACACTTCACCACCCAACCAAAACCACAATGTGAATTTGCAACAGAGGAGGAAAAAAGAACCAAAACTTCCAAGGCCCTACTTTTTTTTCCCTTAAAAGTACTTTAAAAAAGGAAAATTTGTTTGTATTTTTTATTTACATTTTATATTTTTATACATATTGTTAGGAGTCAGCCATTTTTAATGATGTTGGATGACCAAACCAGCCTTTGGAGAATTCTCTGTCCTTCTTGTGACTTTACTTGTGGTGTGACCGTGTTCATTATAATCTCAAAGGAGGAAACAAAACCTTGTAAAATAAAGCAAAAACAACAACAACAACAAAACAATCTTATTCCGAGCATTCCAGTAACTTTTTCTGGGTATGTACTTTAGCTGTACTATAAGTAGTTGGTTTGTATGACATAGTGAAAAAGGCCAAAGATAAAAAGGTTCTTCTTTCCCCCCACTCTTTTTTGTCTATGAAGTTGCTGTTTATTTTTTGGCCTGTTGGTATATGAGTGAAACAATGTTGTCCTACAATAAAGTGGAATTTTATTTTGCTGAGTTGTTCTAAAAAAAAAAAGGAAGACCCAATAATATGCTGTCTCCAAGAGACTCACCTCATAGATAAAGACATCCACAGAATGAAGGTAAAAGGATTGAAAAAAAAATATTCACATGGACCACATAAACAAGAAGGGGTTTCTCTCATATCAGATAAAGTGAACTTCAAGTCAAAGTTATTTATAAGGGACAAAGAAGGCCATTTAAACTGCTTAAGGGAATTATACATCAATAAGACATAACAACTGTAAATATTTATGCCCCAAACAGTAGAGCATCTACATACATCAAACAGGCCCTTCACAATTTCAAGAATCAAATAGATCAGAACCCAATAATGCTTAGTGACTTTAATATCATCACTCAGTAGATCTTCCAAACAAAAACAAAATGAAGAGGTTATAGAGCTACAAAGTGGAATTAATAATCTAGAATTAACAGACCTATAGAATATTTTATCCATCAATAGCTGAATATGTTTCTTCTCAGCAGCACATGGAACATTTTCTAAATTAGACCATATTTTCAGTCACAAAGCAAATTGTCGAAAATACAGAAACAAAAACAAAAATAGATAATGCCTTGGATTTTATCAGGTCACAATGAAATAAAATTAGGAATCAATGATAAATTAAAAAATAGAATCTACTCTAACACCTGGAGAATAAATCATATGTTATAGATTAACCAATGGATAGCAGACGAAATCAGGGATGAAATAAAAACATACTTAGAGGTAAATGAGGATAGTGACACAACATGTCAAAATCTCTGGGACACTATGAAGGAGTTTCTAAGAGGAAAGTTAACTGCATTGTGCTAATTCATTAAAAGAATAGAGAGTCACCAAATAAATAACTTTATAAATCAAACCCTAAAAAAAGAAAAACAAATCAACACCCCAAAGCAGTAGAGAACAGAAAATGATTAAAATCAGAACCAAATTAATGAAATTGAAAGAAAAAGAAATTTAAAAAATCATCAAAGCAAAAAGTTGGTTCCTTGAATAAATAAATAAATTGAAAACCAGCCCTGAGCCATGCTAACAAAGAAAAAGAGAGATAAAACACAAATAACTAAAATTTATGCTGACAAAGGAAATATTACAATGGACACTAGTGAAGCTCAGACAATAGTCAGAAATTAATTTGAAAATCTATACTCCAATAAAATAGAAAATGATGAAGACATTCACAAATTTCTAGAGATATATGACCTACCCAAATGGAATCAGGAAGACATAGTAACTTTAAACAGATCAGTTTCAAGCAATGACATTACAGACACCATCAAAAGCCTACTACCAATGTAAAGCCCAGGACCAGATGGATTCTGAGCTGAGTTCTAATGGACCTTCAAAGAAGAACTTACACTGATCCTCCTCAAGTTATTCCATGAAATAGAAAATGAGAAAACCCTTCTAACCCATTCTATGAAGTTAGTATCACCCTAATTCCATTCAAGAAAAGAAAACTTCAGACCAATATCCCTGATGAACATAGATGCAAAAATTGTTAATAAAATACTGGCACATTGCATATACAAACATATTAAAAGATAGTGGACCATGATCAAGTTGGGTTCATTCCAGAGAAGCAAGATTTGTTCAATTTATGGAAATCAATAAACATAAATCATCACATCAATAGACATAAAGACAAGGAAAAAAATCACATGATTATCTCAATAGATGCAGAAAAAGCATTTGACAATATTCAGCATTGATTCATGCTCAAAACACTAGAAAAACTAGGGATAGTAGGAACACACCTTAACATTGTAAAAGCTATAAGCTAAAACCCAAGGCCAACATCATTCTAAATGAGAAAATTTAAAAGCATTCCCTGTAAAAACTGGAATGAGACAGGGATGCCCTTTTTTACCACTGCTGTTCAAAATAGTCCCCCAAATCCTATCCAGAGCAAGTAGAAAAAAGAAACAAAATAAAAGGATATGAATGGGAAAAGAAGTGCTCAAACTATGTCTATTTGCTGATGACATGATTCTATGTTTAGTTGACTCAAAAAACTCCACCAGAAAGCTTCTAGAACTCATTAAAAATTTCAGCAAAGTAGCAGAATATAAAATTAACACCCATGAATCAGTTGAATTCCTCTGCACCAATGATGAATCAGCTGAAAGAGAAATTGGGAAAACAATTTTGTTTACAGTAGCCTCACAAAGAAATGAAAATTTGGAAAACAATCTAACAAAAGAGGTGAAAGACCTCTAGAGTGAATAATACAGACCCCTAAAGAAAAAAATATAAGAAAGCCTTGGAAGATGGAAAGATCTTCCATGTTCTTGGATAGGTAGAATTATTGTCAAAATGGCCATATTACCAAAAGCACTTTGCATTCTCAGAGACTGAGAATGAAGCCCCCATATGACCCAGCTATATCACTTCTTGATATTTATCCTAAAGTTTAAGTGAAGCTGATGCTACACATGATAGCACAGAGAAATATGCTTTGTGATTCATTTGAGTGCGTGATTTTATCATGCAATAGTGATACATGCATACCCTTATTTATAGCAGCAGAATTCACAATAGTCAATTTAATGCAATTCTATGAAAATTCCACTGTTCTTCACAGCCCTCTGATACCTAGCATGAGGGCTGAGAAATCAGATTTCACCAAGAATTTATCTGAGCTTTAATTCAATTCTTTCAATTTCAAATTTCAAATGGGACTAAAAATGTATGTTTGTTTTTAGATGCAACCTTAAATCCCCATATTTCTGCAATGTGGTTGATACCTTTGATCTTGTCATGATTTAAGTTTGAGTAAGATGAAGTTAGTTTGGGTTAATTTTGGAAGTTAGTTTGGGTTAATTTTGGCTCACAACTAAATTCAACTTCAGTATCTCCTGGGAATCTAAACAATGTAAGACTGCATGATAGTGAACAATTGTTTTCCCCTCTTTACCCTATTTCCTACAACTACTTGGCAAAAATTACTATGAGAAAAGATTGACAGGTTGAGGAACTTTTTTTTTCCCTCTTTGGGGTATTCCAGGGTTGAATTCATTATACCACTCCACATTGTCCTTAGGAATTGTTTACTCCTTGTCTCTAGAACATCTGCTCTTCCTACTGTTTGTAAGTGGCTTAATCACGTTTCCCCAGGTGTAGAAATGACTGTAGTTCTTTGCTCATTTCGTAATGTTTTTTTTTTTCCTCTCAAGGGCTTATTTCATTAAGATTAAGAGCATCCACTTCTTTTAATAGCTTTAATGAAATTGAAACTCATCAATCTGGGGCTTTTCTATTGTTACCATGGAGTCTTTCATCTCCTTCTGCTGCTTAGCTGGAAGAGGAACTCTCTTGAACTTTAAATAAAATTCAGTTTGAAATGACATAGTAAACTATACATACTAAATGTATAAAATCTAATAACTTTTGACTCTAATTTTGAATATTCTTTTCCCTCCTGTGTCCTTGGACATATTTCTACATAAGTTAAATGTTTTAAAGCATATTACCCACTAGAATATAATATCCATAAGGAACATTTCTTCATCACCACTTTTTTTTTTTCCTGAGGACCTAGAATAATGTCTAGCATATAGGCAGTGCTTAGTCATGTTGAATGAAGGTCAAGAAACAAATGTTACTGAATGGAAGTTTCCCTCTGATTCTTTTCTCCCCCAAAGAAAGATTTCAGTCAAGAGTCAAAGTTTTGGAAAATATGTTTAGTGAAATGAAACTATCCCCCAAGTGCAGTGGACTTACAATCTGGGGTCTCCCATGTAAGAAGTTTTTATATGTGGTCTGGGAACTTCCTTCCTCAATTATTAGCTATTTGGGGGCAGTTATTACAGTTTCCCCATCATGGTTTAGTGTATCTGTTCCAATTTTCTTGTTTTGAAAGGTTTCCAGCATACATCATGGCCATTTTCTCTAGCTTGACAGTGAGTTGTCTGACTGCAAGAGGAGGTCCCTGAAGGATTTATAAGCTAGTGGGTGGAGCCAACAGACAGAACCTGAATCATCTTTCTCCACCTCCATTGCTCATGTCTGTCTAAGCTACCTATTCTAACAGAATGACTTAGAAAATGTGTAGGTTTTGATCAGGAATGAAATCTTTGATAATCCTTTCAGTAGTTGTACGATCCCGCAATATACCTCTGCAAGTGTGCATTTCTCATCTGTATAACTAATGAAGAGTATATTCACCTTGTGAATATTTAAAGCAATGGATTTAGGTATAAATATAATACAAGGGATAATTGGGTCTATATATGGACTTAATGTGAAAGAATATGGGACAACTTAGGATGATGATATGTAGTGACTATTAAAAATAAT